ATAAAATAGACTAGTTATACCATTTATGGTATTAGATTAGTAATTATTATGTAATAAATAAGTTAAAGGGAATAAGACTCAAAAAGGCCTTGACCCAACTTCCAAGGTTTACCTAAATCGGTAACCTGTACAGCGCCTATAAATATGCGCCTTGTGTACAGGTACCGATATCGATCAATATACCTTAGCCTTACATACGCTGCCAAATTTCTTCTCGATACAACAGAAAGAAGGTTTCACTGTTCTCGATAAATCTTATATCATTATATGAAATCTTTCTCTTCTGTTTATCGATGATGTTCATCTAGCTGATCGTTAGTCTGCATAAACTGGGACCAACAACTGGTATCAGAGCCTGCTCGAGTGTGATCGTCGAAGAAAAGTTTTCGAAGTTCTCCATTTTTCATACTTTTCGATCTTTTTCGTTTTAATCACTGTAATCTTGTTTCTGATCGATAAACTGTAAAAGTTATACCATTGGATTCGCCATTCAGAAACGAACCAAGGGTATATCTTACTTTTCAATTTCAGTAGATTTAGTAATCTTGATTTCTCGATAGTATGATGTCGAAAAGCAGAGTTCTCGACATTGTAGCAAGTTTTTCGAGCTGAAAATCATTCCAGGAAGATCTCTGGATTTAGGACTTTAAACTTTAGCTGTTTTATCTGCTTAAAACTAAGTTTTTGAATTGCAGGATCTCGATACTGGCTTCTCGACATAAGTTCTCGAACTGAGTTCTCGAACTGCTGTTCTCGATACTCAGTTTTCGACATTATATCTCGATACCTTGTCTTCGATTTGCAGGATCTCGATATATCTTCTCGGTAGTCAGGTTCTCGAAACCAAGTTCTCGAACTTAGGTTTTCGATACTGACTTCTCGAAAGAACTTCTCGAACCCAGCTTCTCGATAGCAGGGTTTTCGATATAAAACATCAAAAACTGCTTCTCGAAAGAGCTTCTCGAACTCTGTTTTCGAACCTACTCTTGAAACTTAGGTTTTCGACATTCTGCTCTTGACAACTTAATTTTATCTGATCAAAACACTCGAACGATCTTTTAAGGCTCAATCAGCAAAGATGGAAGCATTAACACTTGGAAATGACAACAGACCACCCATCCTCAGAAAAGGAGAATATCAGATGTGGAAGACAAGATTCTTGAACTTTCTGGAAGGAAAAGATAATTCATCTGCCATGCTTGAATCGCTCACACAAGGTCCTGCTGAGATCTATACAGAAGTAGATACCTCAGATGTAAACAACCCCCCTGTTAACTTTGTGAAAAGACTGAAGACAAAAGGCGAATACACTGAAGCTGACAAGTTGAGAATCAAAGCTGATCTCATGGCAAAAACATATCTGCTGCAAGCTATCCCCAACGATATCTACATTCTAATAGACAGCATGGAGACAGCAAAGGAAATGTGGGATGAGGTGAAGAAGTTAATGATTGGAACTGATCTTGGTTTGAAGACAAAGAAAGCGAACATCTTGACTGCCTATGATGCTTTCAAAGCCCTACCTTGTGAGGCGCTCCATGAGACGTATAACAGATTCGTACAATTGATCAATGAGATGAGAAAGATCAAAGTTGTCAAATCTAATATGGAAATGAACATACGTTTCTTGTCGAGCCTGCCGCCAGAATGGAGAAGAACTGTTAAGAATCTACGACAGCACCTGGATTTGGATGAACTTGACCTCTGCACTGTCCATGAACATCTACAGCAGTTTGTTAATGACACTGCTGAGATGGAAGGAAGCTTCTCTTCTCAACACTGTACATTTGTTGCAATAGACAATGACCCGAAGAGTTTTCTTGAAGCTAAATAAACAACATGAAATTGCCAAGATGTTCATGCTATGCGGTATCTCAATTCTCCATCCAAGCCAACGTCCCCACTACAAGATTTTTGCTAGGAAGCTCTCCGGCACAGGGTGCAAGATATGTTAATTGCTTCCTGAAACAATTACTTAATAGTAAGCACATACTCACCGGTGTAGATAAAACAGCATAAATTTGTCCGCAGAAGAAAGGCAAGGGCTTCAAACCTTTTCATGTCAATCTCAGTGATATAGATGAACCCAGCAACATTACTGTCACCCCAAAGAAGAGTCAGAAATTAGATAAGAAGATGAACCGGTCAACTCAACAAAAGGAAAACCTTCAGCAGGTCAGCCATACATTGGAGCAAAAGAACATAAATAGAATGCTTTGAGTAGTTTCTCTTTATACTAAAAGATTAAAGAGAATTCTTTGAGACCACCACCATGGACATTTCCTTACTGCATTTGGTCAAAAAACCATGGCTGTAGAAGTTGGGGGTAAACGTCTGCCATATTCTTAACATTCGAAAAGTGGAGATTGAATCACTTTTAACAACAAGACTAAAGGTAACTAGCATGACAAAATAGTTTGAGAATCCCTCATATTTGTAGAGAAGGGAATGTGGTTGCTCACTGAAAATAAATTTTAATGAAAACATAAAATTCATTGGCTGGAGAGATCTTATGAAAGAGTGAAGGCATTATCATTACTAAAGTGAGGGTATTGGTTATATCAGGAAACGGAAGAACAGTTGAACTGAATTGCAGCCCCCAGCTTCTGCTAATTTTCTGGCACTGTTTTGTTTTAAATTTTCTGGCTTGGCCTTACCTAATTTGTTGTGGATTGGGTTTGCACTTGTATTCTTCAGTTTCTTTGTTTTTCTCTTGAGGGTATGCACCTGTTGGAGGTAATTGGGATTAAGCCCCCATTCTATACTTTGTTTTCTCTTCTATTAATTCTTCATGTTTTTTTAAAGTACTACCCATCTGCAAACAAGAAAACGGAAATTTCCCAAAATATTTTCCCTAAATAGGAGTAATATATTTTTCCCTTCATATTATATTGCTATAATTGGGCATTGCAGGGCATTAACGTGAGAGTATTAATGTCATCATTGACAGTATTTTCTGAGCTAGAAATAATATTGGAGAGGAAAGGATTTTCTGTATCTTTATTGAAGGCACTACAAGAAATCATACGCTTTATGACGAAAATTTGAGTGACACAAAAAAATGGTCACATATTGTTGAATTATTATTATAAAACACAAATTCGTCATTATAAAATGACTTTTTATGACAATGCCATTTATTGTCATTTATTGTCTCACTTTTCGTCACTTTGATATAAAAGATGACAATAAACTCATCTGTCACCTAAACTTTGAGCGCTAAAATGTGACGTCAAATTTTGTGACAAATTAATAAAATTAATGACGATAACTTGTGTCACATAATTTTAAGTAAATGACAAATTCATATTTAGTCATTAATTAGTAAATGCAAATGCATCATAATTTTAGTATTTAGTAAAAAGTTTTTTGCTTCATCAACCGATTGAAGTTTGCCAAGATTGGGGAAACAGGAATAAGATTGGAAAAATGTGTGAGTGAGATTTTTTATAAAAGAGAAAGAAATAATTAGAATAAAAAGGTAGTTAATTTAAAGAGAAAGTTGTAATTTTTTTTAGGACAACTAATATCGAAAAGTATTATATTAAGAAAGATTTATATTGTGCACGCCATTTGTACGCATTTTGCACGCGGCTTTTATTTATCTGTGTGTAAGAAAAATCTCATTTTTTGAGGTAATATTCTTGGCGTGTAAAAAGTAGACATGTACACTAAGCACGATAGTTAGTTAAGAACAATAGAGGATCACAAATTCAAGAAATAATTTTAATGAATTTGTTGGTTCGCTTATGTATTTGTCAAACTTGTCACAATAATTTAGTAACGAGTAAAGGTCAGTTTGGTCCTCGAAGTTGCAAAAAAGGGGTCAAATAAGTCCTTATATAGAAGATTCTGTCCGGACGTGCCATTTGAGGTGGCTCCCGGTAGAATTTTTTGATGAAATTTTTTAAGCATCTTATTCATTAAGTCTAGTTTACTCATACCAAATTTCAGTTAAAAATTCAATCGGGGAGACATTCAAATGAATTCTTGAAGATAACTGCGCTTTTAACGGCACTGTTATCTTCAAGAATTCATTTGAATGTCTTCCGGATTGAATTTTTATCTGAAATTTGGTATGAGTAAACTAGACTTAATGAATAAGATGCTCAAAAAATTTAATCAAAAAATTCCACTGGGAGCCACCTCAAATGACACGTCCGGACAGAAGTTTCTATATAAGGACTTATTTGACCCCTTTTTTGCAACTTCAAGGACCAAACTGACCCTTATCCCATTAGTAACAATGGAGGATCACAAATCCAAGAAACAATATACAAGGCTTATGTATTGTTTTTTAAATAATTTTAAAAAGCTAACCAAAATTTATATTCATTACCTTAAAATCTCATTAAAATTATTGCCCTTATAAGTTTTAATTCAAACTTTTAATTCAAAAATTGTTGCCCTTAAAAGTTATGTAATACGTAGTAACTTTTAAGGGACAGAGAGAGTAATACTTTAGTATATTGTAACGTTTTTAATGATAATAACGGTTCAAAAAAACAATAATGTTAATACTAAGGTTGTTTTTAATTGGAAGAAAATTTTCTGCTCTGATTTAATCTAGTATGGTTTGTAAGTCTGGTCTGATAAATGTTTGTATCATGTGTATTTTATTGTAATTGTCAAAATATGTTCTAGTCTGATCTATTAAAATCCGGTATGGTCTGTTTAATCTGGTCTGATTTGATTGTTTAAGTCTAGTCTTGTCTATTTGAATCTGGTTTGGGATTGAAATAAGTTCAAGTAAAAAATGTTTCAATAGTAATAAATAATACTCCCTCCGTCCCTAAATTAACTTCCAAAGTGCATTTGGCATAGGGATTAAGAAAAGACCAAAAATTGTGTGGTGGAGAGTTGTACAAAAGAGAGAGAAATGTCTAAGAAAATGTAAGAATCGTTGTGAACCATAATTTTTTTACCAAGAAGGATAAATAAAAATTTATAAAAGGAAATTTGGGAGTTTAATTAGGGACAATGAGAATACTCCCTCATGGTACATTGACATTTTGATAGTTGCGTCCAGTTTACGCCTTTAGGAAGTACAGAACAAAGCTTTTAGATTTTCATATCCGCCGCGGCTATTTCAATTCCGAAAAACCCTACGGTGCGTAGTATCAACGCCTACTTCGAATCAGTGCATTCAAGACCCCATCCCCAAGAATCACTTTTCTTCCTTCAATTAACTGTGATTAGAGACCGGCGGCTACCCATGCTAGCTACGAGGACAAAGGTGACTACCACAGTACCATCCTATTTTAATTGTTGCGGAACTTGAACAGGTTTGCGATTTTGATATTTGAATTTTTCTCCAATCCTTAGCTTAATTCTTGTAAAAAGATTTCTCAGATGTGGGTGGCCGTATGAATTGGACGGTTTCTTGCTTGAAGTCTTATTGATATTGGGAGAATGATTATGGGTTGTATTTTGTAAATTAAGTGATTATTGTTTGAAGCCCAAATATATTTCTGCACATAGCATTTATTTGGTTCAGACTGTCCTGCAACTTGATGTCATTAATAATATTGTGTTGACATTTTAAATTTATAGTTTTAAGTATATTTAAGAAGACCAAAATATACACTTTTCACAGGACTGTTCTTTTAGGGCGCCCTACCCTGTTTTTAGTGTATCTGTGTACGTACTCTATTAACTATGTTTTGGATCATCTCACCTTGAGTGAATATGAATTGCACTAGAGCTGGATGGATGAAATAAAATGGCTCAGCACTTTTCTTGATAGGGTAAACGTGTATGATTTTTTTTGAAACATATAATAGTCAAGAGGGAGACATTACTAGTTGTCCATGGGCATTATGGGCCTAATTTTACATTAAAAATTAAAAAAAAACGGTAATTTATTTTGCAGAATAGATCCAAAATATACTACGAGAGTGTATGTTGCTGCTTGTACTTTGGAGAAATAATTTATTTTAGAGATTTTGTATAAATGATTAATACTAAAAGTCGGTGGCTGTGTTTCAAAAGAAAAGTGATTTTGAAAAAGTATATGTTACTTTGTAGAGTTTTTCGTGAAAAGTACTTTTTTGTTCTGAAAAAAATGAGGAGCAGTTAAAAGCACTAATTCCCTTTCTCTAAGCCGTAAACAGATTAGCAGCTTAACTTTAAGTACAAGCACCTATTTAAATACACTACTTTTTAGCTTTTTTAAAACAAAAAACTAATTTTTTCAATTAATCTCAAACACTCCCTACATTGTTTTACTGTAGTGAAGCATCAAGTTCAAGAAGTTTTGGGAGGTGTTACTTCGCTGTTAAAGTCACATTTAAGTTAGTTAGTAAGACAGATGAAGTAAACATGCACACTGCTTAAAAAGCTGCTTACTAACCGAAAGAGGTGCTTAAAGTGCCGCTTACTAAGCATACCACCCCCATGTATTAATTAAGCGGCACTTTAAACTTTTTCAGTTTTCGAATATACCTCTTGCCCACTTACCCTATTGTTACCCCTCTACCCGCTATCTCACCCCCGCCCTACCCCTACTACCTTGACCCCGACCCCACACTACCCACCGCTGGAACCCTACCCTACCTTACCTTACCCCGACCCTCTACCTTATCCCCTACCCATACCACCTAACCCACCCCCTACCCAACCCTACCCCTACCACCACATGCCCCTACCTCGGCCCCACCCTTCGATCCCGGCCCTACTGACATCCTACCACCCTACCCCTACCTTACCCCGACTCACAACCCCCTACCCTACCTTACCTTACCCCACCCTAACCCTGTCATACCCCTACCCTATATTACCCTGGCCCCGACCCCACCCTAACCCCCTACCACATGGCACATGTCGTACCATCCTACCCTACCCTACATTACCCCTAACCACTACCTACCTTACTCCTACCCGACCCTTACCTTACCCCGACCCCACCTTACCCCTATCACATGCCCCCACCCCGATACCGACCCCACCGTACCCCCTACCGCCATCCTACCCCGACCCCACCCCCTATTGTGGTTCGTAGGGGTGTAGGGGGGCGGGGTAGCGGGTTAGGGGTATGGGTACACGTACGAGGTGACCCCACATATCATATTATATACTTGTATTCATGAATGTTTGTGTGTCTATATATGTATAGAGTTATTTTGGACATTTTAATGTTAAACGGTGTTTTAAACCCTTTGAAGTAAACACGATCTTACAACATTGTTTATTTTATACGCCGCTTATTAACGCGGATCTTAATAAGCACCGTTTAGTAACCCGTGAAGTAAACGTGTCCTTGGTCTTCTTATTTGCTTCAATAAAGAACAGAACATTTTTTTCAGCATAAGGAATCTTATATCAATACCAGATTTCATGAATGCATTGTTTATCTATACTTTACGTGTAATTCAGCTAATTATTTACATTTTGATATATACTTTTAATCATACTTTTATCATGAATACCGTTTATCTATACTTTTACTGAGACCTTGCCAATCTGTACGAGCACCCGAACGTTCTTCACCTTGCTTGCACTCCATGGCGGCGGCTCGGGAAGGGGACGCTCTCGCGCGAGCCCACCACTCTGTCCGTCAGCATCTGAACCTTCCACGTTGGCAAAGTTGAGCGATCGAAGAAGCTCTTTCGCCCGATTGCATCTCAATTTGATTTCCATCAAGAAGATGATGGATGGTTTCTTCTGCTGCACAACATCTTTCAAACACTGCCTTGTAGCAGGGTTTCCAAGACCTCTGCAATTTCAACTGAGAATACTCATCTTCTTCCAGCAAAAATCCGAAGTTCCAACAGGGAACCGGTGCCGTTATCGGAAATCACCACCGGACAAAGAAGCAAAACCCTAGGCGGCTACGCCGTCCTTGGAATTCCGAAACCTAGAGAGCTTGTGATTCGTTTATCTTTAAAAAATACTTTTCACTCCCAATCTCATTTTGCAAAATATACTTTCTTTTTTGGGTTATTACAAAAATATGATCACTTTTCTAAATTAGACTCCACTAAATTTTTAGTTTCCCACTTTGTCTCTTTATTTATCATTTATTAATTTATTTCTTGTGGATTCATCTTATTCTTTCTTACTCTTTGGAGTTTATAATTTTAAAACAACCATTTTATCCTTTATTTTCTTAAAATCCACATCAAATCTAAATGCATCTTAATTACAGGGATAGATTATGAGGTAGATTTAGTAATTAAGTTATGCCTTCGGTGAGATGTTCTCAAAGAATTTGATGCCCAGTTTGTACATTACTTCAAAATCTTTTGACTTTGTATCCCATTTAGAAATTTTTCGTTCATAATATCATTTGGAAAGTCAAATTCCTTCCATTGCTATTTTCTAGAATCATGGTTCACTTAACAAGTCCATCATCTTCTGTGTTCAAAATGCTAAATACGTGAAACTAAAAGAGAAGAAGATAATATGCCGAAGTATTTGTTTAAATTAAAAAAAAAAATCTTTTTCGTTTAAATCTTTTTTGTTTATGCTTTATCACACAAAGGCTGAAAAGAGAAGAAAGGCGCGATGAGCAGTCAAGGTGTGTGGGAGCATTTGCCTCTTTTGTTGAGAGCCAACTCCAAAGAATCGGTGGAATACATACTTCAAGCCCTGTGGAGGACTCGCAAGACAGGTCTCGACGCCGCAGACCGCCAAATTATCCGGGAAATGCTCGAGCTCCCCACTGATTCCGACCTTGACCCTGTTCGTCTTTCCCTTCCCTTATTAGTTATCTTCCTTCTACTGTGTGCATATATGTCTATGAATTTGTGCTTTTTTCCTTTTATTTTGTGGGGAGTTGGGTGGGGAATAGGGGATGAGTATGAAAAGTGATTGACTTGTTGAGTGGGTAAAGGGTAAAGCTTTCTGATTAGTTGTTATAGATCAATGATCAAGTGCTCGTAATAGTTTATTCTGATGAAGTGATGAACCTGTTTTTTGTTTTGGTTTCTAATTTTGAACTTTTATGAAATTCGACTGCTTACATTTCAGTTCTTTTGGGTATTTGTATAAAACGGACTACTTTAGCAAAAGTAGAGAGATCACATTTGTGCAAAAGGTGGTTGGAAATCTGGGGCAGAAAGGGTTTTAGAAACCCTCTGTGATAGCCTCTCAAACAGTCAAACATCTTTTGAATTGATAAACTTTCATTCCTAAATATGTAATGTCATATGTCAATGTTGAATATATAATTTTTCCAACGATGTAGTAATGTAATGTAATACTAGGTATATTATTTTCTTATAAAGATTTTTTGGTTCCAACCAGTACCTTACTGTAATGTACTACTTTTTTTTTGGGGGGGGGGGGGGGGGGGGGGGAGTAATGTACTACTTAATACATTAGTATTTGATAAAGGTTCAAGCTGTAAGGTGTAGAAATGGAAGAGGGTCACTCGGGTCGTACAAGTAGTTAAATCAGGGTGGTGTACACCTTACACAATGGCCAACATATGCTTATTCCTCTTTATGAAAATTTTAACTTCTTTGAGCTCTTATTTGTGAGCATTGACAAATCTTTCTACATTGAACATTCTAGGATGTGACATTTTCAGTGTAGAACTGTATTCAAAACACAAAATTGGAAAAGAGAAATTTTCCCACAAATGAAGGGTAGCAGGAGCAGGAATGCAAGTGTTGCTCTACCCAACAGAAATTTCATATCTTGATCCCCAAAGTCATGCAGGGTGTAGCTTTACGCATTAAATAATGTTTTTAAGTTTTAAGTTAAAGTTTTGCTTATATTTATACATTACCTCCTCCTCTAGAAGGTTTTCAATTTCACTGTTTATATGCCCAACATAATTCCTTTTTTATTATCTGAGTTTGTTTATCATTTTTTCTTCATGTTTGAAATTGTGTTTATTCTTCAATAGAAATTTCACTGGGTTGCAAAGTATGTAATTTTCAACAGTTAATATTAATTTCAATATTCTTAGGGGAAAGTTAACTTCATCTTCATAGACCATAACTGGCAACCCAATTTAGGACGAAGGTGTTAAGAGTTTTCCTCGGGATAGGGGCTATATATGGTTTTGAAGCCATTAATATTGATTGACGTTTACAGGTTTCAGCTTTGTGGTGCTTAAAGTTAAATAGAAGCACTATTTTTAGTTTTCAACGCTTGATGTACCCACTCTTATACCAACCATGTTTGTCAAGATTTTTTTTGGTCTGTGTGTGAATCCGATTCACAGACAAAATATGTGCTATTTTGTTTGTGCAAATTTTGCACAAACAAAATATTGTCCGTAAACGGAAATCACAGACAAAAAAAGTCTTGCACAAACATGGTGGGTATAAGGGTGGGTACAAATAGCTTTTTTGTTTAGTTTTTTCTTTAAGCAAAAAACTAAGTGCAATTTCAAGCAATGGAAAATGCTGTTCAAGTGTTTTGCTGAGGGGATATGGAGTGTATGATTTGGAAGCAGTTAATGTGAAATATTTAGTTAGTGAATGGGCTTAATCTCCCCTTCTGGCAAATGACCTGATAGATGTTTGGGGCTCTACAGCTTTTGGTGTGCCTGCGCATTTTGATGCGTAGATGCGTGTTTGCGGAGGTAGGGAAGGATGAAATTCAGAAGCTGTTTCCGGATGGGGTCCTGCCTGAGTTGCAGAGATTGCTTACACTTCTGTTCCAAAAAATTCAAAAGGAGTGGCGAGAAGATGCCGTAAATGATCGGGTTAGAATCCACAACTCATCGTTTAGCTTATCATGAACTGCTGTATGCTATCCTTCTGAATAGGTATGACAAAGATTATTTGACCTCTTTGTATGTAGCGGCAAGCTTGCCCCATTTAGAGATGATTACTTGGAGGAGGGGGGTGGGGGGCTGAAACTCAAGACCCTGTCGGTGTACTCCTCGCGGTCTAACTTTAATGAAACCTTGAGATGATGAGGAATAGATTGAAGACTGATGATGCATCTCCCTTCATGATGGTGCATCTTCTATTTCATACCCCTCAATGAGTCAATGCCCACAGGGCCACAATGCATATGCAATGACATCACTATTAAGAGACTTGTTTATGTTTTTGTGATTCAATATGTTCTTATGTAGAGCTTTAATTTATTTGTATGAACTTCATTCACACATGTTGGAGAATTTGCCATTGTTGCAGTAGGGATTTAAGAGTGTAAAAGAAAAAAAAAACAACTCAAGTCTCTTTCAGTTTTTATTTATTCATTATTAATTGGGGGTGGGGGTAGGTTGGAATTGGGAGTTGAGAGTCCAAATTCAAACAAGGTCTCCCTATCTTGGATATTCTTCCAAATCTTGTATTTTAGCATTGCTATTTAAAAAAAACACAGTAGCATTATTTTTTTATAATATAGAAAATAAGGCTATGTTGGAGTGTTGCACTAGGGGTGGACCTGGTCTGCGGTCCTGCCCGGTACGGAACTTTGTCCAGCACTGTTTGGGATCTGTTTTGGGTCTGGGGCCGCCCATAGTCTGCCCAAGCATGTAACCTGGTCCCGGTTCACCTGTTTTGGAACCGAACTGGGTGGGCATTTTTTTTGGCTTGGAAACGGGGGAATATAGAAAAATTAGAACGGGACCACGATCGGGATTGGTCCGCCCGGGTACTCGGAACTGGCCCAGATCTGGATTTAACCAGGTCAGACCCGGGCTTCTCCTACCAATGACTGGGATTGACTGGTCCGAGACCGGGTCCACCCTATTTTGAACATGTAAATGATTATATTGAAATAAGTGCGTGGGAAAATTAGTTTTTAGTCTTTCTCAGAATGCACCAATGAAAATAAAAAAATATGGGAAAACTGTCAAATTGGTCCTCTTACTATCATAAAAAATTCAATTAGATTCTCGTACTTTTTTGTGAATCAATCAAGTCCACCAAGTGTTAGAAAACAATCAATTTTGCTATTTAGCCGGTCGAGTATGGAAACTGCTGGTCAATGCTGATATGGATACCTATGTGGCAATAAATTTTATTTTTTCCTTTTTCTATTAGTTTTTCTTTCTTCAAGCTGACCAGACCCTTCGCTTTCCTTTCATTTTTTTGCCGTTCACTTTCTTCCCCGCCCTGTTTTTCCGTTTTGCCCCAAATTCTCTCTTTTCCCATTTTCTTTATCTTTTTTCCTTCCTTCCCGGTTTTCATTCTATGGATGGGCGTCGCAATCGGAAGTTGAAGAATGTGTGGCCGACGGGAAGCGGGCGGCGGCTTGGGAAGATATTTGAGACAGACCGGCAGTCGTTGGGATAGTTGTTGTGGGCGACGAGCGGCGGGAGACGGTGTGTGGGGAAGTTGAGGGCGGCGGGAGATGGGCGGAGACAGGTGGTTAGGGTGCAGGGCTGTGGGCGATGGGTGACAGATTGAAGATGGGTGGGCGACGACTCGCGCACGACTGCACTCCGGCGATCGGCGACGCGGGGGGCGTTTGGGGAATTGTGGGTGGCGTCTGGCCGGTTGAGGTAGTTGTGGGTTTCAGAGCTTGATGTTCTTTACTGGAAATAAATAGAACAAGAATGATTGAATGAAACAAAAAAGAGACATAGAAATGAAGTGATGCGCAGAAGGGAAGAACGCAGAGGGAAGAAGTTGTCTGGCACTCTGGCAGGAAGAAAGAAAGAGAAAACAGAAAAAGGGAAAAGAAAAAGGAAATTAAAAACAAAACAAAAAAATCATGTGGATTGCCACGTCAATCGGTTAATATAGTAATTTGATTGTTTTTAAACACGTAATGGACTTCCATTCAAAAAAAACACGTAATGGACTTGGACTGAGTCACAAAAACGTAGTAGCACAAGTATCTAATTGACTTTTTGACTTTTTGATAGTAGTACAAGAATCTAATAGACAGTTTTACCAAAAATATTGATATATCTAAGGGAGTATTTCGAGGACTGCCTGTCAAACCAGATTAGCTTCACTTCAGTTTCACCCATTAGGTAAACCATATTACCATAATACAACACTTAGGACCCGGGCCGGTTCCGGTTTATGCCTGGGCTCGGCCGGGCTTTTGTTTGGGAAGTAGGGAACCGGAACCGGCCCGGGTGACCGGTGGTTCCAGACCGGCGGGCCGGTTTCCGGTTCAATATTTTTTTTTTTTTAATTTTATTTTGTTTTTTCTAAATTACCTCTGACCCCCCTTCATCCCCACCCCCAAAAAACACCCAGCCCTACCCGGTAGAAACAAAAAAAATTGAAAAAACAAAAAAAAAAATACAAATTTGGCCCGAACCGGTCGGGCCGGTTCAACATTTTCAAGGCCCGAGCCCGAACCAGGAGTTGGGCGGTTCCGGTTGGCCCGAACCGGCCCCAAGACCGGGTACCAGGCCGAGCCGGGTCCAAACAGTATCGGGCCGGGCAGCCCGACCCGAGTCCACCCCTAACAACACTACAACCAAATATTCGGTCTCAGAGATGCTCTATTAAGGTAGAAACAAGTTGGAGAAATCATGTTTGTTATTTTAACTAAATTTATGAAAATAGGAGAAGTTTTCCAAAGAGAAAAGTACTGTATTTCCTTCATAAATAAGAATAAAGTATTAGTCTTCGGAAATTGTATTGAATATATGATCTCAATATAAACGTATTCAATCTTGTTTCAGGGCCGGTCCTGGGGCATGGGCAAAGGGGCATGCGCCCAGGGCCCATTGCTCCCTTTGGGCCCATAAATTTCCCAATTATACATACATACATATATATATATATATATATATATATATATATATATATATATATATATATATATTATATATATATACTCATATGTATTTTAAATTTATATACATTATATTATTTATAAAAATTTAAAATAAAATAAAACTTATATTTTTTTTATACTTTCAATTCTTTATTCAATAACATTTACAAGATACAAGTCTAAAGTTTTGTAACATCCACACCATAATTAATTGGGAGTAAAATTCATCATTATTTGGATTCATTAAGGGTTAGCGCATAAATGTCAATCTTTCCATTTACTTCTCTCATGTAATTCCGTGATTCATTGATAGGATTTTGCTAATTTCTTTTGGCTCTCTCATGTAAGTGAAAGACTGAATTATAATATTTAGAATTTTGAACCTTTCAGTTTGTTTTGATCTAGTGAAAATATGATTTAAAATATGAAAACATTACTCCATAAATGACATAATTTTCAAGTCTTTCACTAATTCAAAATTCTATATTGCAAGTAACAATTGCACTACTTAATTTTACATACATTTTTTTAATAAAAAATTATAAACATCCCCACGTTGTTCGCAAGGTCTACTTTTCATGTATTGTCTCGGGCCCATAAAATGTCAGGACCGGCCCTGTCTTGTTTAGAGGGAAAATAGAGTACTTTAAGGAAAACGTCTTGCTTTTACTCTTGTTTCTAGTCCTATACTCCTATTTTTCTACTGGTTCGATGTTTTGGCTCAGGTCGGTTCAAGCCTGTTTATTTTTAAATGTTTATTAAACATTTTTTTGGAAGCAAATGTTTATTAAATACGTAGTATAAGAGTTAGAATTTCTGCATATCAATTGAGTTTTTTCCCAAAATAATGTTGAATAAAAAAATATTTCCCAAAATAAGGTAAGGTTAAAAGTATTTCCCAAAATACTATTATCTAAACCCTAGTTAATAGAGCCGCCACTTGAAGTGGCGGCTTATATACAAAACGAGTAACGCAAGGCGCAAGAGCACGCACGCACGCAGCAAGACAAATAGGACCCACCAATAAATGAAATCATATTTTTATTTAAAAGTGATATAACTTTTTCATTTGTACTTTGATTCTTACCAAAAATATATCAAAATTTATATCTTTTTATTATCTTTCATATGACACCAATATTCGATATATAAAAATCAAAAAATAATTTAACACTTTAATTTTTTTTGTAAATGTTATATCTTTTTTTAATTTTACTCCGATTGTTACAAAAAGTATATCTAAATTCGTAATTCGTTCTTATCTTTCATAAGACACTAATTTTGAAGATATGACTATTAAAAAATTAATTCTATTAATTTTATGGAGTTTATGATCGCTTTTTATCAATGTTCTAAAAGACACTAGGCGCTAGTCGGGCGCCAGCCCAGCGCCTAGGCGGGCGCCTAGTCGGGGACTAATCGGGGACATAGAAATTGCATTTTATCTATATTTTTGCATAAATATAATAAGTAATATTGTAATTTTTTTGTGTATAAAAACATATACATATACATTAACAAACATGAATTATAGAATTATCACATTTAATCATACGTACTATACGTGATAACTAATCACTTAATTTTATTATGTTATAAATATGAATAATGATAAAATTTGGGTATATGTACAAACATATATAGGTTTATCTTAACTCACAACTTCAATTCTTTAGATCCATGGCTATAGTTAAAATACATATAGCGGTTAGAAAATTAAAATTAAAAAGTAAAGTACTATTCGGCGAATCTAGACGGCCTAGGCGGCCAATTAGGTGCTCTAGGCGGGCAACTAGGCTCCATGTGCGGCCGAATAATTCACCTAGACGGCTAACCAATTAGTCGGAGCACCTAGACAAAAATCGTGGCGCCCGACCACCACCTAGCGTCTAGGCGGGGACTAATCGGACGCGTAGAACGATTTTTAGAACAGAGCTTTTTACTGTGAACAAAATTAATCAGTAGTGATAGTATAATAATCAGACTACAAATAAAAAGACATAATATTTATAAAAAAGATACTTTTATAGTGTTAAATGATTTTTTATTTTATATATTGAATATTGGTGTCATATAAAAGATAATAAAAAGTTGTGAATTTTGATATATTTTTTATAAGAATCAGAGTACAAATAAAAAAGTTATATCACTTTTAAAATAAAAATGGGAATTCATTTATTGGTGGGGCCCTATCTCCATGTTGTCTTGCTGCGTGCGTCCTTGCTCCTGCCGTCCTGCGTTACTCGTTTTGTATATAATCCGCCACTCGAAGTAGCGGCTCTCTTAACGAGAGTTTAGGGAGCAGTATTTTGGGAAATACTTTTAACCTAACCTTATTTAGGGAAATATTTTTTTATTTGACATTATTTTGGAGAAAAACTCATACTTGTATCAATTATCAAAGATAGGACTAGCACATATTTATTGACAAATAATGTTTGCAATTTTAATAAATAATGTACTGAAATGAGGATAAATATAATATACTCCATACATGATGTATCAATCACGTTACACTTACATAATTAGCCATTGAAAGCCTAAAAAATATCCAAATGGGATGGGAATAGGGATGGACTGGGATGGCTCAGCCCGACCCGATATTGTTTAGGACCGGCCTTAGGCCCAGCCCGGTGACTGTAAGGGAAGGCTTCAGGCTTGATTTTTTGGGCCCGGTCCGGGCCTGACTGCACTATTTTTTTAATTGAATGCCCAGCCCCGTCCCAATGCCCAACCCGACCCGGTACTGTTTGGGCCCGGCCCGACCTGACCCGGTCCCGTTACAAACCTGGGCCGGTACCAGTCCTGAAATCTCTAAGCCCGAAGCCCGCCCAGTCCCGGCTCGGTCCCATCACGGTCCATCCCTAGATGGGAACCCAGGCCAGCTGCTGACCAGTCCCGGGTATGAACACATGAAAACCCGGATTCTACCCAGCTTGAACGAATTCTAAGTAATGGTTCCAGATCATGCACTTTACTCCCCAGTTCCGGTACAGGATTACAGGAACCGATCTATATGTGCAAGAAACCAATGTACTTCACCTGACTCCTATTTTACGTACAACATGGCAAATATCATTTTTCAAGTCTAACACAATTTACAAATCATAGATACGAGGACATGCTGGTGTACATCCTCTGCATGTTCATGGCTTTAATCATGTTGGACTTGGCTGAATCCAGTAGTGGATCATGCAGGATTGCCTGGTCGAAGCAGAACTTTGCATCATCCCACTTGCCCTCAGCAACAAAAACAAGACCTAAGTTGTTATATGCAGGTGCATAACCGGGTTGCAGTTCAAGAGACTTTGTTATCATTGCCTTGGCAGACTCAAAATCTCTTAGCTGACGATAGAGATTACCCAGGTTGGAAAATATTGTATGAGCTTGTTGAGGGGTAGCCACTAACAAAGCTTGTTTATATACATCTTCAGCACATGAAGGCTCAGCTGATAGTTGCAATGAGATACCTAGCATTTATTATTATATATAGTGTCAATATTGTGATGCCCACTTGTGTATGTAATATATAGGAAACAGCAAAGTGAGCAAACCAAAAACATTTCGTCCTCCATGGCTCCTTTCACATACAAGGCCAGCACATCATTGTTCACAGTTTTATGACATGAGTGTTCGGGACCTTTGGCCCCTGAAATAATGAATTAAGCCTTGGGCCTGAAGTTAACAGCCTGTAAAACCTTCTGTAGCCAGCCAACCCAGCCGGCTCTTGTTCATTGTATTTTTTCTTCGTTTAAATATACTTTGAAAAGAGAGATGATTACCAAGATTTGACCAGGCATAGCAGCTCCTAAGGCATGCAGCTGCAGTCTTGAGGTACTTCTGTGACATTTTAAACTGCTGGGTACAGAGAAAATGAAGGCCAAGTTGGTGCCAATGAATGGCATCTTCAGGATCTTCTGCAACAGCCTTTTCACATGAAATAAAAGACAATATAAAAAACAGCTGATCACCCACTGGCCACTACCCCTTCAAACCAGCAATACATGGAGAGAATGCATGGAAGGAAGGATAAAGATTATTATTATTGTCATCATTATTATTGTTATTATCTTTTATTATACTAGTAACAATAATATTTATAGCCATAGAAAGCCAACAACCATCCACATCAAGGGGAACCCAGGATACAGAACTAGTATTCTCCCCTACAACGACCAAACCTAACCTAACCACCGTACCCTTCGAGGATCTTGTAGCTGAGATCTACGACCGTATACTAGACGTGGAAGAAGGCAGGCAACCTCACCCCTCTTCAAAAAGCCCTTCTCCATGCTCTAGATACACAGAACACATGCCGTGAAAGTCTCCGTGGCACTAAACGTTCACATGAGGATCCTGATGATTCGGATTCTCATGAGGGGGAGAACAAGCGCCAGCGGATACTTGAGCATGTTGCTTCTACTAGCCAACCCTCAAAACCAAACCAACCCTCCACCTCTACCAATGAGCAACCCACTACTTCAGCTAGCCATAAATGTAACGCCCCTCTCAGGGTTAAAGGAAACGTTACACTAACGTACTACTTTTAAAAATAACTCCAATATAACGGCCGTCTATTTAAGAATAACCCTGATAAAATCTAAGATATAACTAAAATAACTCCAAATAAAAACTTAATAAAATAGTTATCACCAACAAATGTAATAACCACCTGGATCCAGGAATTTATTAAAAAATCAAATTCTCAAATAGACTAAAATAATAATAATCTTTTTGTTATAACACTGAAATACTGAAACAAATTAATATCTAGCAAAAAGCCGCCAAGGTCGTTCCCGTTAACTCATCTTGCCACACGTTCCACTCCCTCATCATCTTCCTAGGCCTTGGCCTTACCCTTAGTATCTGTACGACGACTGTACATGCGAAGAAAGAAACGTGATAAGCTTTACGCTTAGTAAGTCACTATGGATCCACAAAAATATCTAGAAGTCTATGCCAATTTATCAATAGATAAATTTAGACTATAACCATGCACTGAACAAATAACTATCACATAACTTCTCAAATACATTCTGAGTGAGATCTCAAAAGGAAAGTATTTTCTAAAATAATTTTTCAAAACTGCTCGAGAGATCTCAAAATTTTCATTCTCAAAACATCTCTGTAAACCCTTCTGAAAGAGATCTCAAAACAACTTTCTGTAAAACTTTCTGAACGAGATCTCAAAAACAATTTTCTGTGAAAACTTTCTGAAAGAGATCTCAAAACAACTTTCTGTGAAACTTTCTGATAGAGATCTCATTAACAACTTTCTGTACTACTCTTTGTGGCTAATTTTACTCTGTGGGCCCGTGATATGTACTCAAAGGCGCCAATCCGACAGCTCAGGGGAGCGACCCACTAAACATATCGGACTCTCTGAAACTGATAACTGATAACTCTGTGGGAACTTGTTCCCGAGTACATATCACTTAATCTTTCACTTTAAATATTAGTTCTTTTTACGGTGACGTTTAGATAAAAACATCATTAAAATCTTGAAATAAAAGTACTGTAGGACTGAGATACCGCAAAGTTTTCCCTGCCCAAAGCCCTCCTCCCCTTTAACAGACGGAAATCTAAAAATAGAAGCGAGCAAAACTGTTTTCTAGGATCACTATGTAAATTGTAAAACAGTCCATCTTCCAGATAAAATCAGTAATTATTTTGTCCTATCTATTAAAATCTCTTTGTGAACCGTTATTATACTCATGGTGTATAGAAGACTTGGAAAATAACACATACCAGGCAATGTGGTGGCACAAGGAAGAGATGAGCTTCAACAACAGGGTTGAACAGAAACTTTTGGATGAAGAGGCTACAAGGATTTACTGCTATGGGTGTGGAGATGAGAGAGATCAATGTTCGGGTGTTATTTGAAGGATATGAGGCGCAGGCTTAAGAATAGACAAATACCCTTTTTATATTAGGTACTTCGTATTTCTTTAGGGCTTTTGGTTTAAAACGAAATGTTTAATCGGGCCAAGACAATAACTTGATCTCTAATCATCATTAAAGTATAAGGTTTCAGCCCGAGCTAAAAAAATAAAATAATTTTCTCCGTTTAAAAAAAAACTAATAAACTGATTTACTTCAGAATATTTATTTTCTCCCTTTCAGAATAAACTCATTAAACTTTAGAACAATATTTACTTATTCATTCATTTATGATTTATAGAGCTTATCGGTCAACGTTACCTGCCACAAACAAAACATGTTAAATAATATATCACATTATTCATAGAAGAAACTTATTTAACTTACTAAAGTCGAGAGTAAAGATTAATATAACTAGCTCGCTAAAACGGGGTGTTACAACCCCTCCTACCTTATAAAAGTTTCGTCCTCAAAACTTAAAAGAACTTGGTAAAGATTCACAGTATTTCCATCTAGACTTTTCACTTGGCTAGATTACAACTATAATAGCTTTATACCTTTTACAAGCTCACTTCTTTATTTCCGAAGCATGTAACTTCAAATTCTAAAAATGCATACTGACTTTTCTTTGAATTATTCGACTGGTCGTAATGATGGTTTCGGGAAGAAATACAACTACCTCTTATAATGACCCACACAAAGATTTCAACAACACCGTGATAATTGACCTTGATAAGAAAACTTGCTTAAACACTCTCATGTTTTCTATTAAAACTACAACAAAAACTCACAAGCTAACAACATAGAGTATATACGTTAATTACTTTGCCCTTTTCGCTTATTAAAATGAAAATGAAAGACAATGGTAAAATAGAAATATCTCAAAACTGAAACATTCTAGGGGCTTAGAATATAAACTCAAGTTTGAGGTTCTGCCCGCACGAATTGCAGGACAAAAACTTTAAGAAATCAACCATGCAGCTCTCTAAAAATTGCTTTCGCACAACAATAAAACTGTACATATTTTGAAATAAAACTCCTCGTAGAACAAAATAAAACCATGACTCTAATGTAGTAGACAATTCATTATCAAAATTTACACTTTCTTTCTTAAGTCTCGAGCTTCTTCCAATTTGTTAAACAACTTAAAACCATTTAATTAAGGAAACACGAGCTGCCATCAAAGAAGATAACAAATGGTGGTGTTGCTTTATAAAAGACTTTTAAACATTAGAAACGTTGAGAACTAATCCAATATAGTAGAAAACTTAAACTTTGTGGAGCATAGATTTCTTATACTTCAATCGGATTTTCAAAACAGGTCTTACATTTCCTCATGCCAAAACATAATTAGAAGGAGAGGCAAAAGAAAGAATTGTAAGGACAGCCTATGAAAATTAATACCTGAAACCAGTTTATTATTGAGGAAAACAAACTTTCAAAATTTAGAGGTTGTAACCCAAAACTCAACTAGTAGCTTGGTTCAGCCGATTGAAAGAGAAGAAAATTTTGAGGAGAACTAAGATTCTTTGGAGAGAAAACAGAGAGGCGGCATGCGACTAGTAAGAAAATTTTGCTTCTCTAGGGATTTTAAGCAGATGCTTTCCTTCTAAGAATTTTACTCAAAGTAAAATTAAACATCAAGGCTGGTCCAAAATTACACTTTTGAGTCTACTAATATTTAATTTGACTTACCTATTATTTCAAAAGAAAATCCTTTTTAAGGTTTGAAATAGTTTTAAACTACTAAACTCTATTTTTATTTTTTCATAAAACAGAAAGACCCTATTGTGGTCCTATACTTCTGGAACTCCAAATTTTAACTCACTTGATTAGTATGTTGAAGTAGTCATGAAAGTTGAATTTCCTTTTATCTTAAAATTTGAGCTTGAAAAAAAAAACTTTTCCTAATCAGATGACCATCAGTCTACTTTAATCCTTGAAGGCAAATTATTAATTGAAACTAATAGCCTCCATATCTAGAAGAAAAATCTTCTTGGACTCCCTCAAAAAAATCAGTATATGGTTAACATTAAAATGTCAACATTGAAAAGATTTGTTTGCTTAGTTTCAAATTTTCATGTTTCTTAAACAAAAGACATCATAAAAGTTCTGTTTAAGAAAAATTGGCGTCGTCAAACACATAAATAGTCAGGTAAAAATATACTTGAAAACAGACAATCAAGGTGAGGAGGTGAACTATCACTACGTTCGGAACTTTTTGATTTTCTTTTTTTTTTACTGTTTCAGAACTTTATTGATTTTCAATTATTTCCCTCTTTTCAATAATGACTTGGGGACTATCTCTTTGCTTCCTCTATTAGCTGTAGGATGGTTAGGAAAAACGTTATGGAGTTTTTCTTTTATCAAACCTGTCATCCCATAACTAATCCAAATGTGTTATATTCAATATGTAGTCTATACGAGACTAAAAAAAACATTGTTAAATCGTAAACTTCTTTTAGGCTGTTATCGAAAGTTATTTCTTTGGTAATATCCCACACCATTGTTCCTTCTAACTTTAACCTTCTAACTGTATAACTTAGAAAAAGTTTACATAGCCTTACTAAAATAAGGAAGCCAAACAGTAAGTAACACATAATTCCATAGAAACTGACTAATGATTACCCGCTAAAACCTTTGGTAATAAACTGTACGGGGTCGTATCTATGATTAACTTAGATTAAACAAATAAATTTTCCGCAATAAAATTTTATCTCAGAATCATTTTTTTTTTACATAGCCTTTTTATTATGCTCTTTATATTCCAATTGGAAATAATAAACTGATCAAGGAATCTACACTGATATCTTTCAAAAGAAAATCTAACATCATAACTACGTCCTCCTTACTGGTTTCGTATATTCTTACATTGACTGACACTTATTAACTCAACTGTCGGGGTTCAAGCCCTTGAGTTGCTGATGACTCATAACAAAGTAATTGTTTGAGGTGTCGAACTCTTCATACTCTTTATTCTCACCAATACTTCTATTACCCAAAGAGCATACTAGCTATCAACACGAGCTCATTGGGATAGTGTCTACAAATATTCGTCCATAATGCCTATAAGAGAGCTCGATGGTACCATATTCTATATTTCTATCTTCTATTGAAATCTTCATACCCTAGATCATACTGTATTGAAACACTCTTCACAAATCTCTATATCGTAGTGTGCACTGTGCAACAAGTTCTAAGACTCATGATTTACCAGAGACTGACTTGATCTAATCCTTCCACTCATCTCTACTAATCTAACTTCTAAGAACCAGATACTATTAAAAACTTTTGAATCATGTATATAGACTTTAATGGAAGGTCATTCTAAAGAATATTAGGTGGTGAGACTCAATATCTTAGTGCCAAAAGCTGAGAATACTCTGAAGATTTCTTTGAGAAATTTTTAAAACTCAAACTTTCTTCTGAAACATACTTTCGAGGAAATAGCTAAATAATATACTAATATATCACTTAGAAAAATTCTTATTTGACTTTTAGTAAAATCACTGTCATGTGATTAATGATTAATCAACACACTTTAAAATTTATTTTAAAATTTACAGCTTGAAGACAACATACTTTTGAATACTTTGACCATTGATCATATATTAAAGTGGTGTTTGACCACTGGTATCTAATGTTGGAATCATGAAATTGATGAGGAGCCCTCCCAGCAACTCAAGATTTCAAACATGAAATACCAACACTCAACACTCTAAAAAAAATCATGCAGCTTATGATACTGTTGATAAAACATTTAACTCCATTACTTAAGAACTTTCAAAATCCGAGATGGAGTTTCAACATTTTACACAAAAATTAAGATGTAACTTAAAAATCTTTTTATTTTATTTTTCTTACAAAAATATAATAAGGTGATGTAAACTCATGTAAACTCTTCATCTCATGCAAAGTCAACTACATGTTATAAATAGCAAACCGATTTTATAAAAACTTGAAATAATTACATAAATATGACCAAAATAAAGATGGTTTACAAAAATATGATTCATTACTAGAGTAGTAATGAAATCATAGTAATTCATGTTCAAGTTTTGAACTTTAGTTACCACAGCACTACATTGTAGTAATGAATAGTCATATTTATGTAAATAAGTTTTATTTTAGTAATATTCTCGTAAAAAACCCTAAAAACTTCTTATAATTTAATTCAATAAATACATAACAAACTGATTTTATGCTTATGGAAATTCTTCATCTCATGCAAACTCATCTGCATGTGATGCTTTAAACAAAATACCAAACAACTCATTATTATTCTTCTAATTTAAAAAAAAAAGAACTAATAAAACTTAGACCATGAATAAACTACAAGCTATACACAAAGATAGCTAGATTACCACTGATTGTGACCTAATTCAATTACTTAATCTTGAGAAAATAAAGACTATATGACACTCTTTTTTTAATAAACTCGAATTTTAATCATGAATAACCTATATGAGAAAATATTTTCTATGAAAGATCAACATAGGCTAAAGTGGAAAAACCGCAAATACGTGATTTTGAGAATTGTTACTAGAACGATGGTGTTTTAGCTAACAGAACTAAGTACTTCCAAAATGAAATAGAAGTCTTAACTCAAGAGTATAGGAGCTCAAATAAAATTAAATCTGACTAGCTTGTAATGACACAAAGGTTTTACGAGTTGAGTATATAATACTCTTACTTGACTTTTCTATCTAACTAATACAAACAACACTCAAACATACTTTCAAAATAGATAACTTTTATAACATAAATAAGTACTTACTTGGAAGATGACGAGCACGTGTATGGTGACAAATGAAGTTACGGGATGACCTGCCATTAAAGTCTATATACGTGATTCAAAAGTTTCTAATAGTATCTGGTTCTTAGAAGTTAGATTAGTATAGATGAGTGGAAGGATTAGATCAAACCAGTCTCTGGTAAATCATGAGTCTTATAGCCTGTTGCATAATGCACACGGGATTTGGGAGGTGTGTGTCAATAAAGTATGATCTAAAGTATGAAGATTTCAATAGAATTATGAATATGGTACCATCAAGCTCTCTTATAGCCATTATTTACGAGTATTTGTAGAGTGTCCCAATGAGCTCATGTTGGGAACTAGTATGATCTTTGAGTAATAGAAGTATTGGTGGAAATAAAGAGTATAGACCGTTTGGCACCACAAACTATTCTTTAGTTATAAGTCCACAGCAAAAGTTGAGTAAGTTGAGCTATGTGATTTTTATATTGATTAAACTACTGTCAGTCAAGTTAAGAATATATGAAACCAGTAAGAAGAACCTAGCTATGATGTTAGATTTTCTTTTGGATGATATTAGTGTAGATTCCTTGATAAGTTGATTATTTCCAATTGAAATCTAAAAAGCATAATAAAGATAAAGAGGCTTTGTTAAAAAAAAAGGGTAAAGAAATGGATTATGAGTTAGAATTTTACTGCCGAAAATTTATTTGTTTAGTCTAAGTTAATCTTAGATATGACCCCGTACAATTTATTACCAGATGATTTAGCGGGTAATCACTTGTCAGTTTCTATAGAATTATGTGTTACTTACTGTTTGGCTTCCTAATTTTTTTGGGAAGGCTAGGTACCACTATGAACGAACGATACTTCCTAAGTTATATAGTTAGAAGATTAAAGGTAGAAAAAGCAATACTGTGGAATATTAACGAAGAAATAACTTTCGATAATCAACGGCCTAAAGGAAGTTTACGATTAAACTATTTTTTTTTTGTCTCGTGTAGACTACTTAGTTGGATATATCACATTTTGATTTTGAAGGGATGAAGGGTTTAGTTAAAAAAAAACATAGTACTTTCCTTAATCCTTCAACAGCTGAATAAGGAAGTTAAGTGATACTGAGGATTATAAAGTCATTATTGAAAACAAAAGAGTGCCTGTTGATGGAGTATATGGCCCAAGAACCCCCGGCCCATAGACTCCTACTTCCCCTACACAAGTCCATTGAGCCCAGAGGACATCTCAGGCCCAAATACAACGGCCCAAGCTTCAAAGTAGCCCAGAATACACACTGGGGTGCCTTCGGCCTCCTTGGCCGAAGGCTCAAAAACTCTCAGAATAGCCTTCTCTGGCGTGAGAAGCTACTGGGAGAAAACGGGCGAGAACATTAGCCTTCGGCACTATTGAGCCCTCGGCACCAGGGGAAGCCCTCGGCTGAGCCAAGCCTTCGGCTACACGAGGAGCCTTCGGCCATACAAGGAGCCCTCGGCTACACGAGGAGCCTTCGGCTGGACTAGCTCAATCATCGAAGATTCCTTTTAGAGACAGCCAACAAACCGCGTTTAATGCCACGTCGCATCCGCCAACCGCATTCAATGCGGTGAACGTACCACTGCCGGTGCCAACCGGCTGATGTGACCCTTCGGCCGTTGGATTACTGACACGTGTCCCCTCATCGCATTTATTGCTGCTATAAATAGCAGCCCATTTCTCCTTGTAAAACACAACCTACATCTCAACTCCACACGCTGAGTTCATTTTAATAAATCGACTCTCTCTCCTCCTATTTTGCTCTGACTTCTCTCTAGTTATTCCCGCAATAACCCCTCGGATAAGATACCCCCCGGGTAGACTATCCATCACCTGTTATCAAGTATTTTGTTTCAGACAGTTATTTGTTTGACAATGTCAATTTTTGTTAAACAGAACCTTTATGACGTCTTGTGTTGAAGAAACATGAAAATTTGAATCTAAACAAATGATCCCTTTTAATGTTGACATTTTAATGTTAACCCACATACTGATTTTTTTTTAGCGAGTCCAAAAAAAAAAATTCCTCTAGATATTAGGACTATTAGCTTCAATTAATAAATTGTGTTCAAGGATTGAAGTAGACTGATGCTCATCTTATTAGGAATAGTTGTTCTTTACAAGATTAAATTTTAAGATAAAAGAAAATTCTAATTATAAACTAGATTCAACTTTCTCTCTTGACTACTTTGATATATTAATCAATGTAGTTATAGTTTTGGTTATAAATGTACAGAACCATAAGAAAGTTTTCATATACTGAAAATATAATTTGAGATGCTTGAGTGGTTTAAAAAAAAAAGAGTTTAGTAGTTTAATTCTACTGTAGACTTTAAAAAGATTCCTTTTGATATAATAGGTAAGGCAAATTACAGTGGATTATTAAAGGAGATGAAGATTCCCCTTGTGCTTTAGGAAAGATTTTTGTGTAGAGAACCACCTTGACAATAGACAGTAGAAGTCTAACATACCAAGAGAATGATTTTCTTGAGAGTAAAAGACATGCTCTAGACTTGAGTACTTTTTCACGCATAAAAGAAGATGTCTTAAGGATCCAACAATAATTATATAATACCATGTTAGTGTCATTAAGAATATTCTTTAAAAAAAAGTCTTGGGCTTACATATGAGTCTCATAAGTCATAACACTGCTACCATGAACAGTTAGTGAGATAGTCAGATAGCTAATACTATCTAAGTTGGTATTTTACATAAAGGGCGTATAGCATAAATAAGCAATCTGTTGAATAGAATCGATAAAATTGTGAATGAGAAAACTCCACCCTGTCCCACAACGTAAACAAATTGTGAAGAGGAAACTCTTAAAACTCACAGGGAAGAAAACATTTTTTTGGATATTGTACTACCAGAATTTCAGCAATCAAGGACGAATGTTAGATACAATTCTATTCTTAATTTTTTAAAGACAAGTTTGACCAATGTAACCACAATGCGATTCAAAATTTCATTTTAGTAGAATGGGTGTAAGTTCTTATGACGAGTTTAAAATTTGGCAATTGTCTTTCTTTCTCACATCAATAAGAAAATTTGTCAAACCATTTTGTTTATAAAGACTATGTCGTGAGCTTGTGATTTTGTGTTGTAGCGCCAAGAGAAATCATGAGAAGTCGAGTTAAACAATGAAAGTTTTCTTAGTATTTGTGTTGGTCACCATATGAAGTAGTTGTGTGTTTTGCCAGTCATAAAAATTTGACCAGTTTAATAATAAGAAGAAAAGTCAGTACATATTTCTTGCTTTTAAGTTATATATGTTCGAGAAATAAAGGAAGTAACCTTGTGAAAGGTATAAAGCTATTTAAGTTGTGCTAAAGCCAAGTGAACAGTCTAGATTGAGATATCGTGAAATTTTACAGAGTTGTTCCAAGTTTCGAGGACGAAACTTTTATAAGGTGAGAGGGGTTGTAACACCCTGATTTTGTGAGTTAGTTATTTTAATAACCAGTCATTTGTATTTATTTTAGCTGATCAAATAATTTTCTCATGTGAATAATGTGAGTGTTTTATTATGTTTTGGTGTGGCAGGTAACGTCGATCGGTAAGCTCGAATAGATTTAATTATCCAAGTAATAAATATTTAGAAGTAAATCAGTTTATTAGTGTTTTTTTATAGAATGTGAGAACATTATTTTATATTATTTTTAACTCGGGCTGAAACATTATACTTTAATGATGGTAAGAGATCAAGTTATCGTCTTGGCCCGATTAAATTGTCTTTTTAAAAAAACGAGAAGCCCTAAAGAATTACCTAATATAAGTATATTTATCAGTTCTTATTAACCCTGCGCCTCATCTCCTCCTTAATGATGGAACGTTGATCTCTCTGATCTCTCCACCCATAGCAGTCGATCCTTGTATTCTCTTCATCCAAAAGTTTTCTATTCAACCCTGTTGTTGAATCCCATCTCTTCCTTGTATCACCATATCCTGCCTGGTATGTTTAGTTTTCCAAGTCTTCTTTGCAATTAGGACTATAATAGCTGTTCACAGAGAGATTTTAATAGATAGAATAAAATAATTACTAGTTTTGTGTGGAATATGGACTGTTTTACGATTTATGTAATGATCCTAGAAAACATTTTTTGGCCTCTCCTACTTTTATATTTCGTCTACATCAGGGGAAGGTTTTGGGCAGGGGAAGCTTTGCAACTAGAATATGATTCTTAATCCTATATTTCTAGGCTTAGAGTTTTAACAGATTCAGATTACTCATCTTGAGTTTCAGACCGGCTGAGATCAATTTTAAGTAACCACTGGACTTGTTTATGGTTTCAGTATAGTTATATTATTTTCCCAGCACTTTATTTTAAAGCCACAACAGCGGTTTGTTTTTTTTAAAGAGGAGCTCATCTCGGTTTTAATGTTTTTAAGGAGTTTCTTTTGTAAGTGACATTTTGGGGTAGCATTAGCTTGTCCCTTATTTAAATAACTAATTCTAACATTTAGGGAGCTCCTGCAGAATGGTTTTCAAAATCTGAATATTTGTTTTAAAATTACTTGAGAGATTACGTTGTGCTCTTAACACTAGGAATTGAAATTTAAGGGTTTAGCTATTTTGGTTGAGTTAAGAATACATCTAACTTTAGTTACACTGTTAAATCAAAATAAAGATTTCAAGTAAAAGCTTGCCGGGAGACGTTACCAAGGTGCCACACTTATTTGAGTTCAGCGGTTAACTGGTAAGTTCACTACCACCTGTACATGTTTGTTCAACCAAATAAAAGAAAGAAGTCTTGTTGATTTTTAATAGATGATTTTAGTCTATTTGCTAGTATGTGAACTTGGTGAGTTATTTGCTGAGTTATTTTATTTGTTGTATTAAGTGATGATTATTATCTGGCATAGTCAAGAGTTTGTCAGTATTTTTTTATTTTCTGATTTAATGATGTTGTTATCCAAACGACACTATAAAAAGAACTAATATTTAAAGTGAAAGATTAAGTGATATGTACTCGGGAACAAGTTCCCACAGAGTAATCAGAGTTTCAGAGTTTCAGAGAGTCCGATATGTTTAGTGGGTCGCTCCCCTGAGCTGTCGGATTGGCGCCTTGGGTACATATCACGGGCCCACAGAGTAAAATTAGCCTCAAAGAGTTTTACAGAAAGTTGTTTTTGTAATCTCTTTCAGAAAGTTTTACAGAGATGTTTTGAGAAAGAAATCTTTTTGAGATCTCTCCAGCAGTTTTGAGAAATTATTTTCGAAAAGAGTTTTCTTTTGAGATCTCCCTCAAAATGTATTTGAGAAGTTATGTGTTAGTTATTTGTTCAGTGCATGCTTATAGCCTAAATTTATCTATTGATAAATTGACATAGACTTCTAGATATTTTTGTGGATCCATAGTGACTTACTAAGCGTAAAGCTTATCAGTTTTCTTTCTTCGCATGTACAGATACTAAGGGTAAGGCCAAGGCCTAGGAAGATGATGAGAGAGTGGAACGCGTGCCAAGATGAGTTAACGGGAACGACCATGGCGGCTTTTAGCTAGATATTATTTTGTCTCAGTAATTTAGTCTTATAATAAAGAGATTATTATTATTTTATTTTATTTTAGAATTTGATGTTTGAATAAATTCCTGGATCCAGGTGGTTATCACATTCTCTGGTGATAACTAGATTTTATTAAGTTTTTATTTGGAGTTATTTTAGTTATGTTTGAGTTTTTATCAGGGTTATTTCTTAAACAAACGGCCGTTATATTACAGTTAATTTTTAAAAGTAGTATGCTAGTGTAACGTTTCCTTTAACCCTGAGAGGGGCGTTACAATAAATCCCTAGTCACTCTTTCTAGCATAGTCGAGCTAGACATAACATCCCGAGGTGCATCTCCTATAGATGTTGACCAAGGACGGAATGGAAGTCCTGATGATGCTACCACGAGTACATCTTCCTACTCAGGCCATCAGCTAGAACCTAGTTCGAAACTGATGTCAACGGGCAATCCTGAGGATCCCGGTGTTTCACCCGACGTATCATCACCTCCGCAACAAGAACAAACTCCGTCCAGTCCCTCGGACAAACTTGAAGAAATCCTAGTATATGACAAGTGGACTCGTAAGTGGACTGAATGGGATGATCTGAGAATGGAAACAGAACAAGATGACATGCAACGGGATTGGATGCTTATGGAGCTTCTTAGAAGATGTGCTGAAGAGATGATTGGGCTCGACAAAGACGAGATAAGAGAAGGAGAAAAATACAAGGAGCCTGAATCTGTCATTAAGCAAAAGACTACTCTGAAACCTCTGGACAGTGTTAGGATCAAGACTCCCTTTCTGGAAGAAATCAGAGAGCGAATTTGGCGCACACCTGAGAAGATCAAGACCTACAGAGAACTCAGGATGTGTGGCATCAATCACCTCAAAGGAAGAGACAGAGGTGGAAACTTGTACATGCTGGGACACAGATCCACGGGAGAACGACGACAAATTTTGAATCATAATCTTGCAACAAGCGGATGTCCAGTACAAACAATCCTGAAAGTAACAGAAGAATACTTGGAGAAAATCAAATTCTTGGTCTTTCATCTACAAAGAACTGATGGATCAACATTCACCTTTCAAGAAAATGATTTCTTTCTGCTACATATGGACAACGTCTATCAAATGTTTATGAGATGCAGAGAGCTACCAGTCCATAAAGATAGACTTGCAAAGGAACGTTTTGAAGCCATAAAAAGGTTCATGGTGAGACAAATTCGATATCATGGAGGTCATGATCTTCAGATGGGCCTGGAAAGGAATTATCCCAAAGTGAACCTTACAAAGCCAGACCTTGATAGACCAGGGATAGAAGACTTCCCAGAAGATCACATCTTTGACAATCCAGTCTCGGTCATCTACCTGAATCATGAAGGAAAGAAGCGGCTTTTGTTTGTCAAAGAAATAAACAAATATTGCGATGGAACACTGAAGATCATCAGAAATAGGCTGAAATAAAAAAGGGAAGAACTTGTCAAGAAGTCAACAGAAGCTACAAAGGATGAACTCAAGGAGCTGGAAAGAACAGAAGATATCCTAAAGGCCATCAAGACACAACTTGAAAACAGAAATTCACTCAGGAGCTATGAGCATGCACTTAATCTCAGAAAGAACTATTACAAAGCTCAGAAGTGAAGAAACCCAGCAAGACGACACTTGACCACAAAGGGGGAAATTGTTAGAACTTATATTGTGGGTCAAGTTTGTCTGTAATGTCTTGTTTAATAAAATAGACTAGTTATACCATTTATGGTATTAGATTAGTAATTATTATGTAATAAATAAGTTAAAGGGAATAAGGCCCAAAAAGGCCTTGGCCCAACTTCCAAGGTTTACCTAAATCGGTAACCTGTACAGCGCCTATAAATATGCGCCTTGTGTACAGGTACCGATATCGATCAATATACCTTAGCCTTACGCTGCCAAATTTCTTCTCGATACAACAAAAAGAAGGTTTCACTGTTCTCGATAAATCTTATATCATTATATGAAATCTTTCTCTTCTGTTTATCGATGATGTTCATCTAGCTGATCGTTAGTCTGCATAAACTGGGACCAACAAATTCCCTACTCATCCATTGCTTATAAGGAATATACTGGGGTGTTCTACATTACAAGGGGTACCGTGGAGAGTATTTTGGGAATTTTCTGGGCATGTTCAAGTGAAGAACGTATTGTTCATCTTCTTTCCCAATGACTATGAAGAAGAAACTGTTTGAGGAGAAGTTCAAACTACTTCAAGCTAGGCAAGTACAGATTGACCTCATGAAGAAGGGGGAATCAAAAAACAAGGAGGTTCTACCTCCTTATGTTCTTAAAGTTGCTCCCAAATTGACTATCAATGCAATAGTACCACATGAGGGGGTCACTAATTCCTCTACTGCCGAGACCCCAAAAGAGTTTTCTTTTGAGAAACCAGCTGCTTCTACCAATGATTCTACTCCCAATGTGATGACTTACTCCAAATCCGCCTGTCTTAGAGATACCAATCAAGCTTCCTTCGGGCAAGGTAAGAAATCAATTTGTTATCTACGAAACTTTTCCTAACTATTGTTGTCATTGTAAGGTATATGGTCACCACCACATCACTTGCAAACTAATAACGAAGAAGGATAAAGTGGAACAACCAAAGGGTGGCAAGGATAGAAATGTTGTTTCATACCAATTCCTAAAGATTGAAACGTTTCCTTGTTCCAAAGTTCTATTTTACATTTGGTAGTATCAAATTCTAATTGGTTTTAATCAAATTCATTTAATTTTGAGTGTCAACTTGACTGAGATAGATTTGTTAGTTGACCTGCTAAAAGTGTGATTCTAGAAGGAACTAGTTTGTACAATATAGTACAAAACTGATAGAAAATGTAAAACAAACAGTACGATGATACTTGAAACCAGTTATCTTTGAATTAAATTTGATGATGCACTAATGCTTGCTATAAAATCGATAATGATTGTCACCCTTTCTTTTATAATTATGTAAACCCCTAATTCTTGGTCATTCTAAGAATCTGGAATGGACCAAACAACAAATCCATAACATTTAAAGTCCCCCCCCCCACCTCCCCACTTTCACATAGTTTTTGCACTTTTATGATTTGATTTCAGCCTTGAAGATATTCTAAGAGCCATGATGATATTATTGGAAGGTAGGTGTGTGTGGTTGTGTTTAATATTCTATTTTACCAAGAGCATCTCTTTGCAGAATGTTAAGATCAGATGAGACCCTTTCAATAGGTTAAGTTTTTGTTTGATTTGTTGTTTTCTAAATTTATGTTTAAAACTTTTGTCATGGTTATTATGTTATGACTTTTTGCTTAACAGTTGTCAACATTTCAGTTGAGCAGCTTTCAATTTCCGCTATTAATTATCAATCAAGCTGAATAAGAGAGCCGTAATGTGAACACATTTGAAAACATGGATGAAGAGTGTCAAAATAATTGCATTGGTGAGCAAATTTTGTGTTCACCAGAACAGCATTGGATGAACACATTTTTGGAGGAACATTGGTGCTTTTAAATCTAGCTGATAGTCACTTCAACAAATAAGTATAAAATTTTGAATGAGTAACGAATTTCCCCTTTGTTATTTATGTCAGGGACTGTCCACCACGTATTGTATCCATCCATTTCCAGCCTATATATGGATCTAATAGAAGGTGGGATTCAAGTCAAGATGATAAAAAATGCAAGAAGAACTGAAGTGGTATGTCTTTTCTCTTTTCTTTTTCCGATGTTTTAATCCTTTTTAAGTGTTTAGGTAGTGCTTATATGTGATTTTACCATATAGCATTTTACAGAGTAAATGATGAGTTTTAATGATGCTGCTAATTGAGAGATCATTGTTTGTAAGTATCTCGTCTCAGTTACCTAAGAGTCTAAGACTTGGACTGTTCTGGTTTTTAAATATGCCATCTGTTTTAATGAGCAAGGGATTTGGTCTTTTAGGGGCTGCCTTTCTCAGTTGCTATTTCATTTGGATGAAATCAATGCATCTTTTTAAGGTTTTTGGAGCGGCATGATTTCTGTTATGCAAGGGATGCTGTTTTCTCTCATCTATTTTTTTGTTTTTAGTGCATGGCATATATAGATATGTTTTGTTCTCCATTGATGTCTGTTTACCTCGTCTCTTCAAAAAACAACACTTATATTGTTCTGTAGGAACTATGCAAGTATATATGCACCATGGCAATGAGTACTTTTTTTTTAATTAATACTGATAAGATCATTGCTGAAATAATTTGAGTTAGATTATTGCTAAGATTATTATTGGTAATTAGTAGCAAATTTGCTACTAATTTTTCATTTTCTTTAATTATAGTTTCGTTTTTAACAGGTCATTTACTTTTAACATTATTCATTGTAGCTATTTAACGTAACTTGATTTTGTCTTTCAGATATTGAAAAGCCACCAACAAGTAGGAAGCACTATAGTCTCATGTTGAAGATCAACTAATTTAGTCATAGGTGGAGGGAGCTTATAGTAGTTAGAAGATCTCAAATTAGTTTATTATAGATTTAGTTGAGTTTGTGTTGGAATGTGTATGACATTTGAATTGTAAATGATAATTCTTTTTATTTTCAATAAAGCGTCTTTTAATTTTTCATACATTGTCATTTTTATATTTCGTGTGTATAGATAATTATATATAAATATAATTATATAAATATATAATCAACATTATGTGATACCAGTGTATCATGAATTTAATTGATACTAATGTGTCAAAATATAAAGTGATATTGTTTTGTCATAATGGTTTATGATACTTTAGTGTCATAAATTAGTGACACTTTACCAGTGACACTAAATTTAGTGTCACAATTCCCGACCTTCTATGACACTTTTCTAGTGTCAGAAAAACTTTTTGTGACACTTGTTTAGTGTCACTATAGACCATTTTTCTAGTAGTGTGAGGTATTTGAAAGGTACTGCTTCTAATGCTTTGTGTTTTGATGGGAAGAATGTAGAGCTGCCGGGACATGTTGATGCAGACCTGGCATCGAATGACTCGGATGGATTGAGGAGCACCACCGGGTATGTTTTTATATTTGGTGGAACGGCAGTTTCCTAGCTTTCACAGCTGCAGAAGATTGTTGCATTATCTACCACTGAAGCTGAATATGTGGCCATTACGGAGACAAGTAAGGAGATGGTGTGGCTTCAGAATTTACTTGGGGAACTTGGGAAGGAGTACAAGAATAGCATTCTTTACAGTGACAGTCAAAGTGCTATGTTCTTGGCCAACAACTCAGCTTTTCACAAGAGAGCCAAACACATTCGATTGAAGTATCACCACATCTGTCATCTTCTGGAGATAGAGGCATTGCCGCTTGTGAAGATCCGTGGGAGTGAGAATCCAGCAGACATGTTTACTAAGGTGGTAACCTTGGAGAAATTGAAGCTTTGCATAGCTTCAATTGGCCTGGGTACTTGAAGATGAAGGCCGGCCCTACCATGCTTACAAGGGAGGTTTGAAGAAGACAATCTCTAAGTGGGAGATTGTAAGGTGTTAGAGACAGTTTCTTAATTTATTTTTGGAAACACGTTTCTTAATTTATTTTAGGAAACACATCCTAGTTGCCTTGGGGTTAGGATTTACTTCTCTATAAATACAAGCTCTCTCCCTTGTAATCATAGCGTGTGGATCCGAAAATAGCAATAATATTCCTGGCTTGGTAGCGCCCCCAGACGTAGTCATTCGTGGCGAACTGGGTTACCAAATTTCGTGTGTTCTTCGTTATTGTTTTTTTCGTGTGCGTAAATTAAATTTCTAACACGTTTTGATTCAATTCCAGGCATTAGGCGATCTGATTGGTTCTCTTTTTTTTGGAGGAAGAATGAGTTTGGGTAGCAAGGGCATGGCAACGATGAAGATGACCGCTAGCGGTGGGTTTGCTAAGAGCGCGGGACGAGAAGAGTTGCGCGGTTTTCAAGCAAGTCAAATGACGATTGACAATGGAGGATTAATTAGAATGGTACCAAGGATACGGCCTCCTCCGGAACCACCACCATGGGTTGTACGAGATGATAGAGTCTGTGAAAGTTTTCCTATTAGTTATTATTTTTATGTCAATTGGATTCTTGTTATCGTCTATGTTGTTAGGTTTGTCAGTTTGTTTGGGATTTCGGCCTTTTTTATGTCATTGAGTATGTTTGGATCTATGAGAATAGAGATGGTTGTGTCAAGCCCGCTACATGGTTAGCGATTCCCGTTGCTCTTTCAGGGGCGACCGTCTCTAAGTCTGATCATAGGGTTCACATTCGTAGTTGTTGGAATTTAGTTGATGTCAGTTTTGTGTTTCCTTTGACTGATGCGATGTTCTTGAAATTTATGATATGAAAGAAGGCTAGTTGACGATAAAAAAAACTAGTATATACCTACTAGATTAAAATCAGGCCGCCCCACCCTCAATATGCATCCATACACTTGGACATTTTAGTGTCTTCTTTAATTTAAAATGTATTTTTCTCAGCCCAAAAATAAGAGTGGCCCAATATTTCAACAATTTTGCTACAGGTACCCCACACCATATCCCATTTGTACCCCATATAATCCACCCCCACTTTCTTCTTCCCTCCTTCCCTCTCTGTTGCATCCCCCCTCTCTTCCTCCTTCCCTCCCTCTCTTCTTTTCACACCCCCTCCACTTTCTTTCTCTTTTCTACAAATCTTCATCTCTTCTCCATTTCAAGATCTCTCACCTTCTTTAAAACTTCTCATTTTTACCATCTTTTATAATCTTCTTTAAAATCTGCATTCTGAAGACATTAGATGAACTCAAAACATATCTTTTATAATAAATTATTTGTACTAACAAAATTTAATGCAGAAATTGTAGAATTCGGGCCTCCATCATTTGTTTGTGACCACTGTAAAGCACAATTGTGGTTTGAAGAGAGAGCTAACAAAGCCACGAGGTCAAACAAAATTG